TCATTTCTTGGCTTCCTCAAATTCTGATTTTTATCTCTTCAATAAGACTTTTTGATGCGCTATTTAATTGTCTCTACGTCATAGTCAGAAACTGATTCTGGGCAGAAAACTGTTGGCAAACGGGACTCACTGCGTAGACCCTTTCTCTTCAGAATAATAGTCTAATGCTGCCTCATGTCTCATGTTGGAAATAATTTGTTCCTTGTATTTTTGTCCAGTGCTCTGTTTGCTTAGGTGACCAAATTCTATCACCTCTACAATCAGTGATGAAAGTATGCTATTTTAATTATATTTTATTCACTACATTTAACACATTTTATGGAACATTACTATACAGAGTCCATAAATGTAGAGATTAAAAGGATTTTAAAACCAATGCTTGTATAAACAAATACAATGTTCCAATACTATAGTAGCTTTTAAATATGGCCCCCAAGATTCCTTAAAATGCTTTCTAAATTTTATCTCCTCTCCCCTCATTTAAAGACATTGTGAGTACCTGTCCAACAGAATATGACTGCAGTGATGCTGTATTCTTTTCCTATTCTGAATCATTTTGGTGCTTGAGCAGCTCTGCTGATAGGACACAGTGTGAAAGATAGTTATGCTTGCTGTTCTTGCTGAGCTCTGACCGCATTTCTGATTTATAAGCAAAAGAAACGATTGTTTTTTTCTATGACACTAGATATGGTATGTTTTTATGTAGCAGTCAATATCTGGAACAAATATCATACCATTAAGTGCTGTGATAGAGGTAGCCAATTAACCAATTAATCAACGAATATTTATTTTATACCTAGTGCTGGTCAGATACTGAGTTAGGAAATGCTTTTGGGAAGTGAAATCTGACTGCAGATTGAGAGGAGGCCTAGGATTTATCTAAATAGAATAAGCAGAAGAAACAAGAAGAATTGCTTGTTTGGAGACATGGAAAATACAGGGATATTTGGATGGTTCCTGGTAGTTTAGAAAGACAAAAGCAGAAAAGAAAAAAAAAAAAAACTAAAGAGGAACTAACCATGTATATGGATGAAACACTAGAAAATTAGTGGTTTATATTGCAGGCTGGAAACTCTGAATCTATAATCAAGAAATTAGTTGAATTAATGACTTCTTGCCATCTAGGTTACTCTCCAAAAAATGTTACAATGCCTTTATCCCTATGATTTTCCAGCATATAGGATGGTGCCTGGCAAACATAAAGTGTTAATTAAGTTATATTGAATGACTGGCAGAAGAAACCAGTAAGAATGTTAAGGGAATTATATAATCACATTTGTGCCTTAGAAAAATAATTCTGGCGAGAGAGAACAGTTTGGAATAAATAAGGTGCATTAGGTAGCATGGGCTGCTCTAACGAAACACTATAATGTAAATGATTTGCACAGCATAAATTAATTTTCTCACAGTTCTAGTTGTTGGGAGTGTGAGGTCGTATGTCAATATACTCAGTTTCTGCTGAGGATTCCCTACTTGCTTGTAGACAACTGCCTTCTTATTGTGTCCTCACAAGGTAGAAGAGAGACGTCAAGCAATATTATGCCTCTTATAATAAGGATATTAATCCCACCACAAAGCCCCACGCTCTATAGCCTAATGTAAATCCTATTTTCCAAAGCATACATCTACAAACTATCATCATGTTGGTATGTTGGCGTTGGGGATTTTAGGTGGATACAGTTTATTCCATAGCAGTAAGAAAGGAGAAAAAATATTAGGAGGTGAATACAGTAGTCTTTTCCCAACCCCTTTATCCCAATCGCTTTATTTTTCCCCTGATCACTTTATTTCTGAATACTCTAGTGGATGTCTGAAACTGCATAGTATTGAATCCAATATAGCCTATGTTTTTTCCTGCATGTGTAAGCTAGGATAAAATTTATTATTTACACACAATAAGAAATTATTAACAGTAACTAATAATTAAACAATTATAACAACTATGTTAATAAAGTCAATCTGATAACCAAAATGAATGGGAGGTAAGATCTACCACATGAATACCCTGGACTCACAGGCTGGGCCACATGGAACAGAACGATGGGATAGTTCACAGTACTACTCAGAATAGCATACAGTTTAATACTTGCTCATTTATTGGAATTTTTCATTTAATATTTTTGGACCACTGTTCACCTCAGGCCCTATGGATAAAAGGGCGTTACTGTAATTCACTTAAGAGATGATGAGGATGGGTACTAAAGTGGTGACAGGATGGAGAGGAAGGGCTAAATTTGAAAAATATTAATCATTCTCGCTAATTTAGAATTATTAAACCGTTAATAACCTTTCTAAGATACTCCTTTTCTGGAGCCTTAAAATTACAGGGTTTTTTTGGGAGTAACATCACTTGTATGTCATTATCTTTAATATACAAGAATTTACAAAGTCAAATTGAGAATGAAGGGATAGGCTGGGGATTTAGCTCAGTGGCATAAGCACCTGCCTTGCAAGCAGGCGGTCATGAATTCGATCCCCAGTACTGATAAAAAAAAAATTGTACATTAGAGAATAAAGGGATATTTTAAAATTAGCCACAAAATTTATTAAACATTTTAATGTGAAAAACTAAAATGTTTAAAAATGTTTAAATCTTTAAAATGTTTAAAAAACTGTTTAAAATGTTTAAAAAACTATTTCAAGAATGAATTCAATTTCTTTATAAATGTACATAACAAAAGTGAAAAATTTTGTAATTTCAGTATTTCAAAGGGAAGTTAACCTCAGAAAACATTTTGTTTTTGTATGTGACTTTTGTCAAACACAGTAATATCATAAATATAATTTTATCATAAATTATGTACTATAAATATCATAAATTTTGTATTTTGATAATTTTTTTGTTATTTAATCATAAAGACCAATAGCTAACATTGTTCTTCTAGGTCAGAATCCCATGGGTAAAGTATGTCAGAGCTAGTATGTTATCTTCAATGTTCATGTATTGTTAATTAAGGCTGGACAATTCAATATCCTTACCAGACAAAGTATAGCCAAATACATTTTTACAAATACTTGGCTCTGATATAAGGAAATTATAATAATGTACTCGAGATACTGCTTCATAAATTGAGGTGAACAAGTTATTACATGATTCTGTCAGCCTAGTAATCAAGGGAAGGTTTTTTTTTTTAAGGGAAGGTTTTTAAAAAGACAATGCTCTGATTCCTGTGTCAATACTAAATTTGGAAAAATTTTGTATTTGTCATAATGAAGCACAAAAAAGATTTTCATATTAGTCCTTCAAACTGTCAAGAACTTGGTGGTACTACTATATACATTGTTTTGGATTTTCATATCATGTTTTTCTGCTCATAAAAGAAATACATGTTTTCCATTAAAATATTTGGAAAATATAAAATGCATGAAGAACAAAAACATCTTTCGGGATCTTACTATTTGGAAGTAATCACGCCATAATATTCCTGTGTATTTCTTGTAGACTTTCAAATTTGTAGGTATTTGTAAATTTGCATGGTTCTGTAACTTTTTAAAAATTTATATATTCAGATGTCTATGTAAATACAGATCTATAGCATCACCATCAATGCTTGTATAGTTTTTACATCATGAGTACCACAACTTCTTTGACCAATAATAATTTTAGTGATTACTTACCTTTATTTAGTGTTTATTATATGCCAGGCACTGTTACACACTTTTGCTTGTATCAGTCTATTTGATCCTCAGGACCCTATTACTCTTGTTTCTTAAGAGATAAGAAAACAGAAGCCAAGAAATGAAGCAATCTGTCCAATGTTGGACATTTTAGTGGTTAATAATACTTTGATATTATAAACAGTGTGTACCTGTGTTCATGCTTTCAAAGATGGTAAATTTAAAATAAAATGCTGGGTCCAAAAGTATTTATATTTAAAAAGCTTTGACTTCCAAACATTTCCCTTAGGAAGATTGTTAATTTACTTTCAACCACCAATATGTGGATGTACAGTTTCCTACATTCCTGATTGTGTTACTTTGAATTATGAAAAACATTATCTGCTACTTTAATTTGCATTTTCACTTTAGGAAGTGGGATTTCATTTTAAACTTGCTTTTGTAATAATGTTTTATATATTATGCCAATCATTTTATTGACATTCCAATATGTTTCCATGCTAATTTTGGAAGCTTGTGAGTTAGGCAAATGTAGATAATTTCTATTTATGCGCAAATGAGCTTACTAAATTTGTTCCAAGTGCAACGCAAAATCTAGTATTCTTTCAATTTCTCCACGACAACGGATAATTTGTGTTACATACACAAACTGAATTCATATTTGAAGTTACTAGGAATCATGAATCAATTTCTAGCTTCATTTTTCCACTTTTTTCTTCTCTCAGTTTCACAAGGCTAGGTGGGGCCGTGAAAGATCCATTTTCTCATCGTCACAGCTGCTTGGTGATCGCAAGCTTAGTCAGAAGGTGTTGACGTCCCACTAAAAGAGCCTTCTGCATACTCGGAAACCCGGCGCTAGGGGACCCCCAGCAAGGTGTCAGCGTCCGGACACTCCCCTTTTCAGGGATTCCAGCCAATTTCTTCAGCTCACATGACTTCCATCAACCACATTGTTGTCACCTCACTCAGCGAGTTAAACTATAGGTTTTGTGCGTGTGTGTGTGTAACTTAGATGACCCAAAGGCGTTTCTATCCCGCTTTGCGGAACTACAGTATTCCAACAGACGCCCGAATTTGGGGCTGGGGAGAATAAAAGGAATTCCCTAGACCCTAATTCTACCCCCCTGTCTTTGCTCAGTCTCTGATTCACAACTAGAGTTTTTAGTTGCCTTAGATACGCCTGGAGGACCCTGTCCTTCGCGACCTTTGGGCCACGAAAAAAGAGGAAACTGCAGCTATTAATCTTACTCTTTTCTGTAAGTAATCATGAGATATAGCTAGGCCGAAGGTGTTCCTTGAGTGGTTCTGCGCGGATGGAGGAGATTCTGGACAGATTCGCAACAGGCAGGGCTGAGGTCGCCTGGATTCCCGACATGCTCCGCGCGGGGCCCTACCAACCTTCTTTGCTGTTGCCGCCGCGGCTGCTCCCGCGGTTGCTGGGGGTGGATGAGAGGTGGAGCTGTCGTGGTCCAGGTGTGATCTGTCTCTAGCTGGTTTTGCCTGAGGAATCTTCCTTCCTACGTCGCACCCTGACTCCGGTGGTGCCGAGGGGGAGTCCCTGCGGACACCTCGACACACAGTGGAGATGCCTCTCTTTGCCACCAATCCCTTCGACCAGGATGTTGGTGAGTGTTATTAGCCCTCGCTGTCCATTCCCCACCGGACTGCAAGCCGGTTTTGTCCGTCCCTCTTGTACATTCTGGATCCTCGGGTCACGGCGAGGCCTTTCCCCTTTCCTGAGAGTCTTCCTTTAAGAGCTGACATAAGATTGAGAGCTCGGCGCATCCTCTTTGAAAGAACTGCGACTCAGAACCTGTGACATGGCCTTTGAGCCAGAATCGTGGGTTTCGAAGGAGCTGTTTAAGGGGTTGGTGTCAGGGGCCTCGAGGAGCAGCTGGTGTAGCATCTGGTGCTGGGACTTTGCTTCTGGAAGCACAGCGAAGGACTGTGGCGTATCGGGTACAGTGGAATTTTAAATCCTGTAAAAGTGTTTCTGTGGTCAAATGTTAATTAAGTGTGTGAGACTGGCAGAATGTTTCAGATAAGGTGTTAGGGGGGATTTTAAAAATCTTCTTTAGTAGTCCCTGTAGGAAAGAAGTCTGATTCAGGGTAGACTGTCAGAAATACTGGGAAAGATGAAGATGAATTACGTGGTAATAATGGGAACCGAATTGAAGACCTGAGATGCTTTTCTCAGTTTAGGTCGTTATACGTTAAGAAGTTTTCAAGAGAACTTTGAATCTAGAAAAGCGTCTGAAATGCTAACTTTTTATTGCTTCCTGAATCATTGGTATTAGGTATGATCAGTCTCATGACAATTCGACATGCTATGTTTTGTTTACTTGTAGCTACGTTTTCTGGCCTGAAAATACTAATTCTGGGACTTGAATTTCTGGGTAGAGAATTTTGGGGTGCTTTGAATGTAGTTAGAAATTACCTTGATACACAAGTATGGAATGAAAGCAAAGAAGAAATACCATGTTCAAGACCTGTAAGGTAAAATTTGATGACTATTCTAGTAAAGGAATATAAGTATAACCTTATGGAGTTACTTTATGCTTTTTGGGCTATATCTTACCGCATATCACTGAAGCTTAGGGATTTGGGATAAGACTACAAAATGGTTCTGTTCTGTCTCTGCCGCTATGTAGATCACAGTAAAAATTAGAGATAAAGAGGCAAGGTAAATTCTTTGAGTTCCAGTGCCCTCATCTTTAAACAGGGGGAAATACCTGCTTCTGTTCTGTCATTAAATGAAACAGTATGTTGAGGCTACACAGTGCCTTGTATAGTTAGATGCTAGCTTTACTTTTTTCTCAGCTTTAATGTCCTGAATTTTAGCAGTGGATTGAACTTTAGAGATCACCGATTATTGTCAATAAAATTAGAAAATTTCACCAATAATAACAAATAAAGTTGGAAAATTTCATTTAATAAGCATTTGCCTTAGTATTTACAAAACAGTGCTCATTGACATAAAAGATGCTATGATGAGCAAGATCTTCTAACTGCTCTCGAGCAGTTTTACAACTTATTGCATTAACTGTAGGACAAATGCTTAAAACAAAACAGTAGTCCTTTCGTCCGTTTCTAGCACCTTCACCTAGCTTTAATGAACTGTCAACGAACCAGAATCAGCTTTATAGTCTATTGACTTGTTAATTTGTTTTTCTGATGCTAGGGTTTGAAATCAAGGCATGCTCTGTTTTTCAGCACATACATGCATTGGATTCTGATAAATTTCTAAGGTTAAACCTGTTTCTTGAACCCACATCACCCAGTTTGCACACAGGCTCCTGCTTGCCTTTATTCTTTTGTTTTTGTTATTTTATCTTTTTGCATATCATCATTTCCAGCTTAGAGCCAACTTGTTTTAACCTAAATTATTTCCTGAATGCTGTAGCCTAGGGTTTCTTAGTAGGAAGGATATTGACCTTTTAGACTAAATAAATATCTTTTGGGGAGCCTGTCCTACACAGTGCAGAGTGTTTTACCCCATCACTGGCCTTTAAATACCAGTTGGTCTTATCTTTTTTGTTTGTTTACCAAATTATGTAGCATTAGGAATAGTTGTATTCTCTGTTTTGCTCCTTAATTATTTTGGTATTGCTACGTGGTAGGTGTTTTATATTTTTCAGAAAAGCTTTTTAAAGTTAGTCCAGTTTTTTTATTTGAAGAGAAAAAAAGAAAGAACATAAAAAAACAAAGCAGTAAAAGGGTACAAGTAATACAGAATTTCAAGAAAAAAAAATATACAGTAAGAAATCATCAGTTAATAGGTTACATATTATCTTCCCAGAAACAGTTGTCCAAATAAATTAGTCCAGTTTTGTATCTGTATGAGTTCTCATGATCCATATATTGAAAAATCACAAGTTTAAGAAGAGCATTTAGTCATCCCCTGTTAGAAATCCTTGAATGAAGTCCAGAAGATTGCTATGCTGGTTTTTTCTTTCTTTCTTTTTCACTAGTATATCATATAAGATACAGCATGTAGACTACAGAATACATTCAGCTCTTCCTTGTCACCTTGTCTTCCAATGTGTCAGTTATATTAACCCCATCTAATTCATTTAAAAGAAATATCAATTCCTTTACATTTGTATACATTTATACTCTTTCAGAATTGTTTTCAACTTTATTTATATACTGAAATTGTGAATCAGAAATTGACTGTTTTATGTAATATAACATTTTCTGTATTGAGGCAAAGTACTGGTGACAGCCTTTTTCTTGAAGAAATGCCTAAACCTGTCACTACTGTGTGAGCTGTGTGAGGACAGATTTTTGTTTTGTTTACTGTATCCCTAGCATGTAGACCAGAGTCTGGTGCTAATAAACACTCAGTAAACTTAATAAACCCACTTCATTCTGGACATTATATTTCTGCTTAACTCCTTTTTAGCTTTTATTACTTTTCCTTTTTTTTTTTTTAACTTTTCCTATTTTCAATGGCCGGATGATGAATATCGTGAGGGGATCAGTTCTGGATCCTCTTCTCCTTTGACATTTTTCCTTTTGATATCTTGAGAGGAAACTTACCCTAGTGTTACTAATCCTGGAAACTGAGTTAAAGACACTGCTTGAATTCAAGCCTCAGGTTTGTTATCAGAAATGTGACTTAGGGCTAGCTGCTTGAATATTCTCTGCCTCTGTTTTCTTATCTTGAATATGGGATATGGGGATAATAAAAGTTCTAACTTACAGGGTAGTTAGAGTTGAGTTGGTATTTGTGAAGTGCTTAGAATAATTTCTGTTTTTGTTTATAGAGATTAAAAAAAAAACTCATGTAATTTCTTAGGTTTAATCACTCAAGTGACTCTCAAATTTATAAATTTAATCTCAGCCTGAGCTTATTCACCTGCCCTCTTGGTAAGCGCCTGTGGCGAGGGCCAGGAGGAGAATCAGAACTCCTGAGATCCGGCCATGGTGGGACTCAAGCAGCTTATTCACCGGCCCTCTTGGTAAGCGCCTGCGGTGTGAGCCTGGAGGAGAACCATTACCTGTGAGCCTACTGTCACATGGGCTAACAAATCAAACACCCTTCCCTCACCCACCCTCCCATAGCTACTGTGGATAGATGTCTCAGCATCTCTTGGGAGGATGACCATATGCAGTATAGCAAATATGGGGGATTTCCTTCTGTCTTCTGTTTGAAGGCAAAGGTTGTTTTCATTGTTCTGTTTTGTTATGTTTCTTTTGCTCTATTCAGTATTCTCAATTGGTTTTATAATGTTCTATTTTTGGTTTGATTTTGCTATACCTAATTGACTGGACAACTATTGTGAAGATAAAAAGATATACCATAGTACCTGTTACTACTATCCCAGTGTCCTACTGTGAAATCCTGTACCAATTTCACTGTGTTGTCTTGATTGGCTTTGTTCTGTTGTGCTGTTACATGTTTACTACCTTCAAAATAAAATTAAAAAAAAATTTAATCTCAGCCTGAATTCAGATTTAGGTATTGCCTCTTAGATTCTGATAAGTCTAAAAATAAACAGGTCAAAACTCAATTCTTAGCCCTAAACTTTATTTATTGATTGATTTTAGATAGGGTCTCACTATGTAGTGCAGGTTGGTCTTAAACTCACTTATGTAACCCAGGCTGGCCTTGAATTCATGGCAGTCCTCCTGCCTCAGCCTCCCAAGTGCTGAGATTACAGATGTGTGCCACCATGGCCAGCTCCCTGAACTTTCATCTTTGTCTGTTTCCGAAATGGTACTATTAATATGTCTTGCCACTGGTTTCTGATGTCCAGGATTCATTATTGATTCTTTTTGCTTTACATTCTATGCCCAGTTTACCACAAGATTTTTTGGTTTTACCTAAAAAAAAAAAAAAAAAAATATATATATATATATATATATACACACACACACACACACACACACACACACAGAAACTTATCACTTCTCTCCACTTCAGCAGTAGTATCATATTTGGTCATTGTAATCTCTTTCACAGACTATGTCAAGAACACTGTGGTATTCTTCTTTGTTAGCACTCTACCACCTACAATCATTTACAAAAGCTCGGGCTACTTTAGAAAGTGTCTATGTCACTTACCTGCTCAGAACCTCTCCTGGGTAACTTCCCATACTATTTTCAAGCAAATGCAGATCTTTGTTGTGGCCCACAATCTGATGTGACTGTGATTTCCTGACTGCCTTTTGTCATGTCCTGACTGCCTTTTGGACACTATATGCTTGTTTCTGTCTTTGAAGCTAACTTACGCCATTTTCTTGGTGTAGATTACTGCTCTCCTAGGTGTTTTAAGGTCTTGCCATTTTCTATAGAAGCTTTCCCTAGTTGCTTCCTATTTTTTTTTAAAGTCTATCTTTACCCATCACTGGTTCTTCTTACCATTTTATTTTTCTTAATAGCACTTTAACTACCTGACATCAAGTGGTTCATCAATCTCTTGTTGTAGAATGTAACTTCTATAAGGATGAAAGAATTCATTTCTACCCCTAGCACCTTATGGACAATACCTAGTACACAGTAACAATTCAGTGTATCCAAAAATGCATTATTGATATTTTTCAAGATTGTCAGTCTTGTGTTTCTTATCTGAAGTTTTGTTATGTTGTAAAGAATTGATTGATAATTGACCATATCTTT